TCGTTGACCCAGCTTTTCTATTTCCAGCATTACCTCAGATTGTGCTTTCTTTATTGTCTCTTTCAGTTTTTAGGTCTTGAACTGTTTCCTTGAGAGATTTGTTGATACCTTGTATTTTTTTTTTTTTCTTCATTTCTTCAAGGGATTTTCTCATGTCCTCTTTGAGGTAATCTATCATTTTCATGAAGATGTTTTTAAGGCCATTCTCTTCCGGTTCATCTGCATTGTGATGTTCAGGTCTTGCTGGTGTATGGTTCCTAGTCTCCGGTGGTGTCATATTGGTTTTCTGTTGTTGAATGTGCTTTTACATTGTCCTCTTCTCATCCTTTCTTTTGGTGGGTGTAGCAGGAGTCTCTTCCTCTCCTGGTGGGTATGGGACCAAAATTCCCTTCAGGTAGATGCAAACAGATCCAATACCCCGATGTCTGTCCTCTTCTCGTGGATGGGGGTGGCACTGTTACCGGGGCCTCGGCAGTGTCCAGGTGTGTTGGATCCTGCTACCGAGTTCGGATCTGGTGAGCAGATCCCTGGCATTAGATGTCTCTTAGCAAGGCCACCGAACCAGAACTGGAAACAGCCCCCGGCCTACCTGGGCTGGTGGATGGAGGCAGAACTGTCACCGGGGCCTGGCAGTGTTGGGGTGTGTTGGGTACAGCTGCGGAGTTCGGATCCAGTGAGCAGATCCCGGGCGTCAGATGTCTCTGGGAATGTTTGTTTTTGTTTGGCCTGGGCGCAATTAGTGCTGAGGTTTAGCAATCCAGGCACAATCCTCATCCCCATAAAGAGGGCACATTCACAGTATTCTCACTCCTCAGCAGGACCAAGCATGTTGTTCCCAATGTTAAAATTCTTCTTTCTCACCCCTCATCCTATGCCCTTATCCTTCCTGGAATCACCTCCCAAGTACAAAAAACAAAATCTCAGGGATTTGTAGGAAGTCCAAATAGCAAAGCTGACCCAGAAACATCCCTAAAAAAGAACTCTGTGGGCACCAGCACTCACGATTAAAAAAAAAAAAAAAAAAACTGGGATGAAGAAAAGGCAGATACTGATTAGCCTCTATTACCTCAGATGTCCCAGAAACATTTAGATGCATCCAGTGTACAGGCAGCACAATGTGCTCAGAATCAGATCCAGGGACTGTAAACATTATAAAGGAGACCAAATTCTCAAATGCCATGCCTGGAAGTCCTTGTCTGATCCAGTGCTCTAGTTGGGAAGGAATGAGACCTATCAGGGTAGACCCTGATTTCCCAAATCTACTCTAGGGTCACATTCCCTTCCTACAGGACAGTCACCTCCCATTACCTGGAACATATTCTCTTTCAAAAGAAGCCTAGCAAGGTTTTGTTGGTTGTTCTGGAGACTTGTGTCCACTCACCTCCAAATCAGTATGGAGAGTAGTGTTCCTGGTTCCCTGTGATTCCACTTAATTCAATAGCTGCTGCTCTCCTGCTCTGGACTCTTCAAGTCACTGAACAAGCAGCCCAGGAGAGGAGTGGCCACACCGGAAGAAGGTGACAACTCAAGTATCATGCAGAGCTGGGACTAGTGCTATGTTAGGGGCAAGAAGTATTCAGAGGAATGCTTGGTGATGTATGGGGACAAGGTGAGCAGGGCTGACCAACGGAAGGGCTAGTTGAAGGGGAAATCTAGAATAAATAGAAAAGGAGGGAAGATAAAAAAAATCCCCCGTGGCTTCAGTACAGTTTCCAACAGTAAAGAATATAGCTTGTCCTGCTAACCTTCTAGTTGTTGGTAATTTTTCTTTTGTCTATTTTATTGTTTAAAAAAAAGACTATCAGTCACTGTCCTCAGGCAGAAGAGTCTAACACATGAAAGGACAACTGAGGCTGAATGAATGGGGTATATAGGAGATGCTTACTGGTTGCTTTAACATACCACCCCTTTTACACAAATGTACTTTGAAACATAATTCACACATCAAACCAACCCCTTGAAATGTCTGATTCATAGTATATGAATGTAGTATATATACAACATTGTAAAACTACTGCTACTAATTCCCAAGCACTTAAACTAAAAAATAAACCCATTTAGAGTCACTTCATCTCCCCTTAGATTTGCTTAGTCAGTGTCAACATGTAGCTTCCTGACTGTATCTGCATGCATTCTGACTAGAGGGAAAACTTGATCCTCATTTATAGCAGGTTGGACATAGCAAGGAATTAGTTTCTCAGATTTGTCACACTTTAGTAGAAGTACTCAGGGTTGTTTCTGTAAGTGTCTCAGGGTTCCAGCAGGATAGACTCTTGGCTGTTTCTATGGTAACTGAACATACCTCAATACCTGCCTCCTGCAGGAATACCTATATAAGCCACCTGCACCCAAACCCTGAACCAGCTAAGGCTTTCCTCAATAAGGTTATCGTGGGAACTTTGTCAAGTGCTTTGCTCAATCCTGATTTAACATGTCTCTTACCTTAAAAGCCACAAGGGGCCAGGGAAATGGCTCAGCAGATAAAGGTGCTTGCTGCTGTCTAGTTCCAAGAAATCCCTTTCCCCAGTGTCTGACATTTAGACAAAGCCAACATCCCCTCAGGGACTTGAGAAAAATAGTCCCTATATGCTAATGGTCCCTATAAGAATGCTAAAGGAAGCATTCTTATCTCTGGCAAAAGGGACCCCTGACTCTTCCATGAACATATTCTTGTGGTGCCTATTAGCCTATCAAGGTCTGTGCTAGCTTCTAAGTTCCTTCAATCCTTAATCACAAGTACCCTTTATACACTTCAAGATCCTTCACTCCAGTTTACAGGTCCCCCTCCTTCCAGGTACTTGTTCCCTTAAAACCCTGGAAATCCCATCCATTAATCCCCTCAGCTCCCCACTCCCATTTTCCAAAGAGACAGCCTTGGTGATTTGGAATAAACTTTACCTTTTACCCATGGAGCCGCTATTTTGGTTTCTTTACTGCACCATTTCATTCATCTGGTGCCCAAAACCTGACCAATCATTTCCTTCCTTCCCTCCTTTCCTTCCCTCCCTCCTTCCCTCCCTCTCTCCCATCATTTCTTTCATCTGCCGAGTCTGATGACCTGAGTTAGATCCCTGGAATCATGTGGAGAGAGCCAACCCCACAGGCTGTCCTCTGACTTTGATATAAACACCCCCATACAGAGAATAAATACACATTAAAAAATCCCATGCCAGGCGGTGGTGGTACACACCTTTAGTCCCAGTACTCGGGAGGCAGAGGCAGGTGGAGGATCTCTGAATTTGAGGCCAGCCTGGGCTACAAAGCAAGTTCTGGGACAGCCAGGGCCACACAGAAAAGACCTTGTCTCAAAAAACCAAACTAAACCAAAACCCCCACAAATTTACTATTTCTCAATTTCTTAACCCCCCCCATAAGGATTATTTACTTTATGTATACACATGTGCACCATGTACATTCAGGTGCCTGTGGAGGCCAGAAGAAAGCATCAGATCTCCTGGAATTGGAGTTATAGTTTGCTGTAAGCCACCTCATGGGTGCTGGGAACTGAACCTTTGTCTCCTGCAAGAATAAGTGATTTTAACAGCTGAGTTATCTCTGTAGTCTCTAAAGAGTGTATTGTTATTTATATGCATGGATGAGGGTCAGTATGTACAACATGTTTGTGGAGGTACCTGCAGAGGCCAGAATAGGTGGCTGGATGTTCTAGAGCTGGAGTTATAGGCAACTGTGAGCAGCCTAGTGTAGGTGCTGGGCAAATTTGGGTCCTCTGAAAGAGCTGCAAGCACTTATAACTGCTGAGTCATCTCTCCAGGTCCCTTTATTTTTCTATTTTCGTTTTCCTCTTTCAGTATTGAAAGGTGAACCCAGGGCCTTGTACATGCTAGCAAAATGCTCTATCACTTAATTATATCACTAGCCCTCTATTTACTTTTTATTTTGAGGTAGCGTCTTGCTAAATGGCTCAGACTGGACTTGAACTCACTCTGTAACCCTTCATAATGAGTTTATTGCTACATTTAAAAATTACAAAGGATGGGGATAGAGAGGTAGCTCAGTGGGTAAAGTGATTGCTGTGCAAGCATGAAAACCTGTGTTCTAGTCTCCAGAACTCCTTTACATTGGCACAGTAGCATGGCCTATTATCCCAGTGCTAAGAGGGAGAGATGGAAAAACCTGGGGGCCTGATGGCCAGGTGATAGAGCCTGCCTCAAAAAAATAGAGAATGATAGTGGAAGATGCTCTACATTGGTCTCTGATGTACGCACGCACGCACGCACGCACGCACGCACGCACGCACGCACGCACGCACGCACGCACGCACGCACGCACGCACGCACGCACGCACGCACGCACGCACGCACGCACGCACGCACGCACGCACGCACGCACGCACGCACGCACGCACGCACGCACGCACGCACGCACGCACGCACGCACGCACGCACGCACGCACGCACGCAAACAAGGACATGTACCCACAGACGTGAATAAATGTGTATATCTTAGCAACCCGAGTGCCTGGTGCTCGTAGAAGTCAGAAGAGGGTGTCAGATCCCTTGGAACTAGAGTTACAGATGGTTGTGAGCCATCAAGTACGTGCTGGGCATTGAACCTGGGTCCTCTGCAAGATCAAAAAGTGCTTTTAACTGATGAGCCAGTTCTCCAGCTCTGACTATGTTTTCATTAATTTACTTTCTAAAATAGGTGATTCTGTGGCAAGACACTCTTTTACTGGTTGACCTGATGACAGTATAAAAACATGCTAGGGCCACTCCAATACCTTTCTTTATTTTTGTTTTTGTTTTTTTTTTTTTGTCTGGTTTGATTTTTGATGGCGGTTTAGCTTGCTGAGTTAGAACTATCCTCAAAGACTTGCTTGCAGAGACAAGTTATGTCTTACATTTCTAATGGCAAAGCTAAGAAAATAGGCACTTATGTGTAAGCAGAAGGCAAACAATAGCAAAGTTTTACAATCTAATATATTAAAATGCAAGCATTTAAAATGTAAAGATATATAGGAATCTCAGTTTACCAAAATGAAAATAACAGTAACGGCTTTATCAAATATGATTACATATTTCAGAGAACAAAATATTCTATATAATTAGATTTACAAGACATAAACAAATGATTAAATATTTATTTAGCACAGACATTCAAATGTAAGATAAGAACAAATATTTAACTGTCAAGTTGAAGGTATTAATAACAAATCCCTTTCCTTTTTATTTTTGTTAGTAAAATGTCATAATTTTGAAGGCTTGAATTTTAAAGTTAAGTCAAAGATGCATTTCATTTGTTTTTGTTTTTGTTTTATAATGTGGGGACTGATCCCAGCGCCTCATGTATAGTAGGTTAAATTCGGCATGCTGGGCAGGAGCTTCACTAAGATGGCTTACCAGCTCAGACTTTTCACAGTTACCAGTACACTAACTGCTCACTCAAGGTTGAACTAGGTTCCTAAAGGGCCAAAACGTATAGAGTGAACAGGCTTTGTTCCGTTAAATGAGATAAAACTTAAAACTGTGAAGCCAGGTGAAATAAACATTTAAAACTGCATTTTTCTGGGTGGTATGAGTTTAAAAGCAAAACAGAGCAGTGACAAAACCAGAAGCAGTAAATGGTAAAAGTGAAAGAAGCATCACATTGATTTATGCAGCCTGTTTGTTTATTTTACTGTTGAAGAGATTTTAAGGTTTCAGAAATACTTCTGAATTATTCAACAAGTGGAACACACTACACAGAATATTTTAAAGCCACTACCAACAAAAATAAATAAACAAGCAAACTTCTACCCAGCAATTTATTACAGGTTTCTTAAATCTTTTCTTTCTGGCATTAAACTGAGAAAGGGTGTAGGGAGAATACAACTAAATGGTTTCTCAAAGGAACATTTTCCATTTAGTGAGAAGTTCTGGTTTCTGACTTCTACATAACATTCTGGTCCACAAATGATGGAATGTACTTTTAGAGAGGTAATTATGTTGAGCTGAAGAAATTCAGGGTGAAACAAGAGTCCTCAGTGAAAGCCCTACAAGAAACTGATGAGTGATCCAATGACAAATAAATGGATGAGGAAAAAAATGTGTAGGAAATGTTGGCTTGTTACTGTATTCTTTTTCTTTCTTTTCAGAGTCATTCATCTTCTAAGATTGCCTTCCCTGCTTTTTTAGGGACAAATTACCTCACTATTATTTGTTCATTTAGAATCTTAACAAAGTCTACAAAACCCCACAGTACATTCAAAGCTAATACTAAAAGTTTGAGTGAAAATAACAGAGACATAAGCTCTGATCAGTGCACTCTTTTTCTGGGATTAAGTTCCCTATTTGTGGAGATTGGAAGAACCTCTCTCAGACTATCCACACAGATGTGTGGAAATGTTTGCTTTGAGAAATGGGATCACTTTTTCCATGTTAACATGAGAAGGGTAAATGCTTACTTTCTGAGGGGTAACTGCTTTGTGATCTTTACTCATTTGAATACCACATCACTGCACTACACACTGTGGGTGTGTGTCCTGTTTCTTATACTTTATATATGACCAGCTAAGAAAAAGCACACCAGTAAAAATATTAAAATCTCTTGAAAACACCATTTCTCTACACATATACAAGCCACAACCCAAAGTCCAACCTGGAACCTAGTCACCGACTTTCTGTTGAGTCAAAGTTCAGCGTTCTAATCCATATACAGGCAAAAAGGAATTCTGGAATTAAGTCTAAAGACTGCATGTACTCTGAGTCCATCTGCTTTCTAAACTGTGAAAGCATAGGATGAATATGACTTCTCCGTCCATAACACAAACCCGTGATAAGTCAGGATGTATCTCCTTTGATAAGCAGCACTCATGATAGAGAGATGCACAGTTAACTGAGTCTTCATGGTCACTGAAGCTTACTTTCCCTTAATTGATTAAAAATGTTGACTATAGTTGACAGTAAACATATTTTCCATGAGTTTATACAGTTTGATGATCAAATAGAGTAAATTAATTAGGATCTTATTATTAAAAATAAGAGGTTTATTTGTAAATCTTAGTAACTTTACTATTTATCTTTACATTTAGGAACTGTAGAGTGTTGATGGTACCAGCTTATCTAACATTAAAAGGTTCAATCTTCTTACTAATGCAAAAGGATGGCTCTTCTTCCCACTGTAAACTCTTTCTACAATGAAGAACTCTCACTGTACTTGCACAGAGACTCTGGAGCACTAGACAGACAGGTGTTTGAGACAACAAAAAAGAATATTTCATTTTTTTCCTCTTCTGGATCAGAGAACTTCAAATAAGAATGCTAATTCTAGCATTACAAGCAAACCCTAAACATTAGAAAAAGGAGAGAATATGATAAAATGCTTCAAAGTACATGCCTGAGGTGACTGGAGATAACTTGTATGCTCATGTGTGGCAGGTTCTAGACAAAACCATCAGTCTTTAATCTTCAGATTCATATCTGGAGATAAAATTAAGAAGTTAAGTCATGATCTTTTTGTTCTTGTTGCTATCATAAGTGAAATACCTCCAGTAAGTAGCCCAGAATACCATTACTGCTCACTTTCTAGCCCCATTGTAGCAGAAGTCAGTTATCCGTGAGACTAGTGTTATTTTGGTGACTTGGAGTCTACGCCTTCAGACTCCAGACCTGCATTTAGCAGTTAGATCCATGATAGATTAGTATAATTATGAAACTCCTCAGATCATCATGAACAGTTGACATGATTATGAGTTAAGGGTTAACCAACCCCCTCCCATTACAATTCTGGGTTTCTATGAAAAGCCATTGTTGACAAAAATGGCCCAACAAACAAAGGACATTAGTACCCAGACGACATTATGAAGAATAAATACCTAGTGCTCCCTTGCTAGCTGCTATTTCTATGCTATTACCCGCTAATGGATCTGCTGCTAAGAGCAACTTAGTACAGTGTGGTGAGGGGGGAATGTCTGGCTGAGCCTAAAAGCAACCCTGTGGACTAAACAATGGGCCTACAAAGGGCTTGACTTATTGGTACCATCAGGCAAGTGGGGAGAGGAACCCCAAGGAAGGATTAGCCAGCTTACTTTGCCAGTCTTTTCCGTAGATCCTTGATTTGGTCATTCTTTTTGGTGAGAATCTCTTTCATGTTTCGATAAGCTGCTGTTTGTTGAAATTTCTTCTCTAACTCCTGCTTTGTGAAAAATGTCAGCCCATTACTAAGAAATGTTAAGGAAAGAATAACAAATTTGATAAAAATGCACAGTTTGCTAATTTTCTTATTTCCTTAAAAATATACTTGCATAAAACTAAAACCACCTGAACTTTAAAAATATTTTAAATTAGAAGCTAATAAAACAGTACTATTTTCCAAGGTAATACCATGTTAGCAAGTAGCAAGTATACTATGCTCTAATATGGGAATCTGTATAACACAGAAACTAAACTTTCATGAAAAATATGTATAAAATTTTTTCTAAACTTTCAAGTTCTAAAAACCCAAGGAGGTGGGTTTTTAATTTGAATGTCTTAAAAAATATCCATTTCTTTTTATTCATGCGTATGTGTGTATGACAGTGTGAGTTTATATAAACTACATTCATGCAGAGAACAGGAATCTGAGGTGGGTGCTAGAAGCCAAACCCAAATCCTCTCCAAGAGCCTTAACCACTAAACCTTATTTCTAGCCCTTAATTTGAGGATTTTTAATTTTAGTTCCCAGGACTGTTGCACAACTGATAGAACATTTACCTAGCATGCACAAGTCCTAGATTCCATTCCTAGCACCCATAACCCTTTTTAAAAAATAGATATGTATGATTGAAAAAAAATAGATTTACTTATTTATTTTATGCATATGAGTGTTTCACATGCAAGTATGTATGTATACCACATGAATGCCTGGTGCCCATGGAAGTCAGAAGAGGGCACTGGATCCCCTTGGAACTGGAGTGACAGGGGGCTATGAGCCACAATGTGTGTGCTGGGAACTAAACTTGGGTCCTCTGTAAAAATGGCATGTGCTCTTACCTGCTGAGCCATCTCTCAAGCCCCACACCCACATTTTAAAGTCTCTAAACCCTAAAGAATTCACTCTCTATGTATTTCCCATATATAAAACATTTTGAAAAAGTCTCAAAAAAAAAAAAAAAAAAAGCCATCCAGGTCTCTGTCAGGCTGTAGGAAGAACCAGCAGAGAGCAGTGCAAGGGTGTAGAGTGGCGGCAGCATGTGGAGGAAGAAGAGAGCCGTTTGTTTATTATCACAAAGATAGAAGAACCTAAGTGCCCAGAAATGTAGCTCTTCAGAACACACACTGACTAAGACTGAGAATCTGGGCTGGAGAGATGGCTCAGCGGTTAAGAGCATTGGCTGCTTTCCTATGGGTCCTGAGTTCAATTCCCAGCAACCACATGGTGGCTCACAGCCATCTGTAATGAGATCTGGTGCCCTCTTCTGATGTGCAGGCATAATTCTGTATACATAATAAATAAATCTTAAAAAACAAAAACAAAAAACAAAACTAAGAATAAAGATGATCTGACCCTGCAATTGGCTCGCATTATCTACTCACATTTGCTCCTCTCTACTGTATGCATTAGATAATCAGACATGAGTCGGTGAAGCCCTTCCGTATGTGTCTCCTGACCTTTTCAGCCAAGCTCAGCTGCTCCTGTACTCTGAGGAGGTCATGTTTGGCTGCTGCTAGGTTCTGCTCCAAAGACTTTTGGTTTTCTGTCTGGTCATTAAGTGTTTTCTGAAATTCATCCCTAAGAGCTGCAACTGTGTTTTCCAAGTCATCCAAGTCATGGGCCTTTATAAAATCCTACGAAAAATAAAGACATGAGTGAAACTTCCCTTGACATTCCAAATAAGCTGTTTTAAAATAGTAATCCTCCATCCAAGGAGAAAGAGTAATGCCGTGTTGTGTGTGCACATAGCTTTTCTCACCTGATGGGTAAGTGCCAGTCCCACAGGATTGTCGGCAGGCTCATTCCAGCCTCAGCCTAGATATACACACAACAAATACTCAGTAGTCACTGCATTCCAAATATAGAAAGTAGGATTTCTGAACTACTAGAATTTCAGTCAAAAATGAGCAAGAGAGAAGTAAGATCTTAATTTGACAAAGCTGTGTGTACCGGGGTCAGAATGTCAAATCATTTGGAGAAGGGTGTGGGGGACAGAGTTTCTTATAAATGAAGCTGGCTTCAAACTTGCATTGTAACCAAAGATGACCCCGAACACCTACCCTCCCGATTTCACCCTCCCAAGTGCTGGGATTACAGGCATGCACCAACATGCCTGGTCTATGTGGTGACAGGGTTCAAATACAGGGCTTTGTGCTCTCTAAGCAAGCATTTAGTTAACTGAGCTATATCCTAGGCCACTGACAAATTAAAAAACAAACAAGACAACGCTTTTCTTTTTTTAATCTCCATTCCAAGCTCTCTAGAATTATTCTCTATTCTGTTGCAGCCTGCTTGCATGTGTCTCCCACCACAGCTATATTTCTTGATGTAGACCCCAGTCTCCCTAGTTCTTTCACACTGTCCTTTTCAGCCTTTCTTCCTGGTCCATCTCCATTCCTTTGTGTTACTCTCAACCTACAGAAACACGCTCTACCAGGGACTCCACTTGCCTAGGACCCAGAGTGAGCAACAACACCCACCCAACAAAGACACACCAGATATCTTTACCAAGTAACACTTTAAACACCTTAACTCCAGATGCCTAAATCTCAGCACAAAAACACAAACATGAACAGCCAATACAATATGTCTCCTCCAGAAGCCAGGAACCCTGTGGTAATCAGACTTGAGAAATGCAATCTAGCTGAAGCACAAGAAAAGGACCTTTTGCCGGGCATTGGTGGCACACGCCTTTAATCACAGCACTCGGGAGGCAGAGGCAGGTGGATCTCTGTGAGTTCGAGGCCAGCCTGGTCTCCAGAGTGAGTGCCAGGATAGGCTCCAAAGCTACACAGAGAAATTCTGTCTCAAAGAAAAGAAAAGAAAAGGACCTTGAAATAGCAATTATGAATATGTTCAAGGACCTTAAAGAGAGTATAACAAATGTCTTAATGAAGATGGTGAAAACACAAACAATTGAATGAAATAATGAAACTATTTCAAGGCATGAAAGTAGAAATAAAATCATTAAAAAAAACCCAAACTAAAAATCTCAGAAGTCCCACTTACAAAACATGGAAGACAGAATTTCAGGTCTTGAAGACTAGATAGAAGAAATGGATAGCTCAGTCCAAGAAAATGTTAAATCTTAAAAAAAAAAAAAAAATCCATGCACAAAAATATACAGGAAATTAAGAGCAGATCTGCAATAAGATTAGAGTAAAAGAATAAACAAAGGCTGGAGAGATGGCTCAGCAGGTAAGAACACTGACTGCTCTTCTAGAGGACCTGGGTCCCAGCACGCTCATAGCCACTCACACAAGGGCATTCAAGCTCATAAAAAAAACCAAACCAAAACAAAACAAAAAACCCCCACAATTATAGCCAAAATACATACTAACCCTCACAATGTGATAGTAGATGACTTCAATACCACTAAGCCCACTCTTGCCAATAGACAGTCATTTGAACAAAAAAAAAAAAAAATAGAGAAATTCTAGAGTTAAATTATATCACAAATCATATGTACCTAGTAGACACCTACCGAAACACTAAAGAAAATACTTTCTTCTCAGCAGCTCATGGAACTTTCTTCAAAATTGACAACATATTCAGACACAAAACAAGTCTCAATTATAAGAAAATTAACACCCTGCATCCTATCTGACCAACATGGATTAAAGCTGAATATCAACAACAACAGAAACAGCAGAAAGTATACAAACTCATGGGAACTACACAGCTCACTCCTGAATGAAAAATGAATCAAGAAAGAAATCAAGAAGGAAATTAAAAACCTTAAAATTGAGTGAAATGAAAACATAACATACCCAAACCTATAGAATACAATTAAGGCAGTTCTATGGGCAAGTTCATAATACTAAATGCCTACATCAAACAGACAAAACTGGAGAGATCTCATATTAGTAACTTATTAAAACATTTTAAAGCTCTAGAACAAGAAATACTAGAAAAAGAATTGATGGCAAGAAATAAACTCATCCCTGAAATCAAGGAATAGAAATGAAACAAAGAGTTGGTTCTTTGAGAAACTCATTAAGACTGACAAATCCTTAGCCAAATTAACTAAAAAACAGAGAGAAAATACCAAATTAATAAAATTTTAGATGAAAAGGGTAACGTTACAACTAATACCAAGGAAATTCAACCAAAACAGCCCAGGGTCAGACAGACTCAGTATAGAAACCAGACCTTCAAAGAAGAATTAATGCACTATTCCTCAAACTATTTTGCAAAAATAGAAACTGAGGAACAATTTCCTAATTCTTTTCAGAAAGCTGCTATTACCGTGACACCAAAACAAAACAAAACAAAACAATGACCCAACAACAAAAAAGAAAATTATAGACCACTATCACTTATGAACATAGATGCACAAGTTCTCAATAAAATACTTGTAAACTCAATCCATAAACATATCAAAAGATTATCCACCATGATCACTTTGGCTTCATTCCAGAGATTCAGAGATGGTTTAACATTTGTAAATCAAGAAATATAATCTACCACATAAACAGACTGAAAGATAAAAAACACATGATCATCTCAGTAGGTGAAAAAAAAGATCTTTGACAAAATCCAACACCGCTTCCTTCATGATAAAAGTCCTAGTGAAACTAGGGATACAAGCAACATATCTCAACATAATAAAAACATTTTACAGCAAGCCCACAGCCAACACCAACCTAAATGGATATAAACTCAAAGTATTTCCATTAAAAGCAGGAACAAGACAAAGATGTCCACTCTTTCAAATATACCTATTTAAATACAGAACTTGAAGTCTTAGCTAGAACAATAAGACAACTGAGGGAGAGCACGGGGATATAAATAGGGAAGGAAGAAGTGAAAAGTATCTTTATTTGCAGATGATATGATTTCCTATATATAAGAACTTTAAATTCCACAAGGAAAATTTACAGCTAATAACCTTCTTTTTAAAATTTGCAAAATAGCAGGATACAAAATTAGCACAAAATCCAGTAGCCTTCCTACAAACAAATGATAACCAGCCACGAAAGAAATCAGGGAAACGGTCCCTTTCCCAACAGTCTCATAAAATATCTTGGGATAACTCTAACCCAGCAAGTGAAAGAAAATCTTTAAGACACTGAATAAAAATATTGAATAAGCAGACACTAAAAGATGGAAAGATATCCTATAGTCATGGATTGCTAGGACTAACCCTGAAAATGACCATTCTACCAAAAGCAATCTACAGTTCAATGCAATCTCCATCAAAATTCCACCATAGCTCTTTACAGAAAATGGAAAAAGAATACTCAAACTTCTTATGGAAACACACACACACACACACACACACACACACACACACACACACACACACAATAGCTAAAACAATCTTGAATAATAACAAGAACTGCTAGAGGCATTACCATCTCAGATTTCAAGTTTTATTACAGAGCTATAATAATAAAAACAGCATGGAATGGTAACGAACATGCTCATCAGTGGAATCAAATTGAAGACCCAGACATAAGTCCACCTATGGATACCTGATTTTTGACAAGTCAAAAATCCACACCAGCACCAGAAAAAAAAGACAGCCTCATCAACAAATAGTGCTGGTCATGCATGTAAAAATGTGTAAAAGAAACTCATTTTGGTTCTGACACCAGACCCAACTCTGCTCCTGACCAACTCCAACAGGAAACCAACCAATCCCTGAGCAGGAAACCAACAAATCCTCTATTACTTTGCCTCTGAACCCAGAGCCAGTGAAAGAAACACACCCAGGATCTGAAACCTGAGCCAGTGAAGGAAACACTTTATCCTTGAACCCAGAACCAAAGAAAAACACCCTGACTTTGAAACCAGTGCCAAAGAAACACACTTCATCCCTGGAATCAGAGCCACTGAAAGAAATATTCCCTGGCTGCAAATTAGAGCGAAAAGGCTAAAAAAGGCCAATGAAAAAACAGTTTGGACCTGACAGGACACCTTTCTCTCCAGGGCTGAGCTGTCTTGTTGCAGCTGCACTTCTAGAACTGTGCTATTGTGGCCCTAGACAGCCTGGCTTCCCCATAAGTCAGGACACGTTTGCAGCTCCAGAGTTGTAACATTCACTCATATTTTGGTGCCAAAAGCCAGCACTCACATTTGCTTACAGGTCAAACTGGATGGCTTTGTTTAGAATATAAATAGAACTCTACGTATCATCCTGCACAAAACTCAACCCCAAATGAATCAATGGCTTCAACATAAGGGCAGATACACTGAATCTGATAGAAGAGTAAGCAGGGAATAGGCTTGAACTCACTGGCACAAGAGACTTTGTGAACAGGATACTGATTGCACAGGCACTAAGACCAACAATTGACAAATGAGACTTCATAAAACTGAAAAGCTTCTATAAGCAAAGGAAACCATCATTTGTGCAAAATGACAGACTACAGAATGGGAAAAGATTTTTATGAATTATAAGAATTAGTATCCAAAATATAAAAAGAACTAAAAACAAAAACAATTGGACAGCAAAAAAACAACTAAGGCATTTAAAAGAAATGAGGTACACAACTAAGTTCTCAAAAGATGAAACACAAATGACTGAGGAGCATGTAAAGAAATGTTAAACATGCTTAGCCATCAGAGAAATACAAATTAAAATTACTTGCAGATTTCATATTACCAGTCAGAATGGCCAAAATCAAAGCACAAATGACAGCATATGGCAGAGATGTGGGAACATTTATTCATTGCTGGGGGGAATATGAACTTGTATGACCACAATGGAAATCAGTGTGTTAGTTCTTCAGGAAGCTAGAAATAGATCTACCTCAAGATCTAGTTATACCACTCTTTGTTGTGATATATTACTTATGATTTATTAAAGCTTGCCTGAGGGTTCAGAAAGCAAAGCTAGCCATAAGCCATAGAGCCAGGCAATGTTGTTAATCCCAGCAGCCATACTAGCTAGCTAGCTATAGAGCTAAAGGCACACACCTTTAATCCCAGGACTCAGGGACAAAGAGATGGACCTCTGTTAGTTCAAGGTCACACTGAGCTACATGAAACTGATCCAGTCCTAAAGAGAAACAGCTCACACAAAGGTGATCTCAGCACCCAGGATATGAGAGATATAAAAGGAAGAGGCAGCAGTCTGGGATTGCAGTCTGAGGATTGGTGGAGACAGGACTGCAGTCTGAATTTTGGTGGAGAGATTTATCCTCCAGGCACAGTGAGAAGAGGATAGCCCTTTCAGCCTGAGGTAAAGCTAAGAGTTAGTGGCTGGCTGCTTTGATTTTCTGTTCCATCTTGAAGCTTGAACCCCAATATCTGTCTCTGGGTTTTTATTTTTCAAGTTACAACTCTTGGGCATATGCCCAAAGCAGTCTTCATGCTACTACAAAAATACTTGCTTTTCCATGCTCATTGTTGCTCTATTCATAATAGCCAGAAACTGGAAAAAGCCTACATGTCCATCAATTGATGAATGGATAAGGAAAATATGGTACATGTACATAATGGAATATTATTCAGCTATAAAAAATTATGAAATGAACCAGGTAAATGGGTAGAGATAGGGAAAAAAAATCCCGAATAAAGTAATCTAAACCCCAAAAGACAAACATTGTGTGTTTTTTCTCCTATGTGGATGTTAGCTTTTAAACTTTTGGTATTGGTGCTATAGTAAGAATAATCCGGTTAGATATCTAGTATAGGACTATAAGGGAAGTGAGGATCTCTCAAAGAAGGGAAGTAGAATACAGTATTATGGAGAGGAAAAGGGAAACTAGAGTAGGAGAATTCAACAGGGAGAGATGTGGGAGAGAAGAGTAAAGGAGGGAATATGGGGAGGGAACACTGACAGTAAAGGCCATTTAAAAACCATATGGAAACCTACCACTGTAGAAGCTTTCTAAAACATACACATACATAAAAGGAATCTAAATGGAGTCAACAAATAATAGGGGAGACAGTGCCCCAACTAGACTGTAGCATACTTTTTTGTTGGCCATCAGTTCACAAATAACAACATGGAAGATTATTAATTATAAAAGCTTGGCCTTTACTTTAGACTTGTCTCAAATAACTCTTACAACTTAAATTAACCCATTTATATTAATCTACATTTGGCCATGTGGCATTACCCTCTTCTATCTTGCCACTCCTGTTTCCTCTCCATGTCTTGCTGGACACCCTACCTTTCTTCCCGGGGTCCTCTGTGTCCCTAATCCTGTCTAACCTCTTACTGCCTAGCCATTTATTGGCCATTCAGCTCCTTATTACACCAATCACAGCAATACATCTTCACACAACGTACAAATATCCCACAACACTAGACATCTTATGCATGCTACCAAATAAAACCTCCAGTGCCAGGAATAAGTTACATCTTGTTGAGTTGTTGGCTAAAGCAGCCCCATGGAAACTCAAGCACCATAGGCTACTGCTCAAGCTCTTAATTACTCTCCAGAATGTAATGGTAAGACCCTATTGATGAGGACAACATTTATGTCATTGAACATAGTGAAGTTGAGATGATGCTTAACTAGAAGCTTCACCCCTACTGACTAGCACTCATAGTATTGGAAGATACTTTACACCCTACTGGAGGAGAAAAACAGTCATCAGTATGACCCAGGTATAAACCCTGTGACCTGTAACAGTGACCTGGTTGCAAGACATATAGGTGCCAAAGTCAGACAATGGTTGATTACTTTTCGATTAGACATAAGGCCCACTCCATGTAATGGATCCTAATCAAGACACTGCTAAAGTGGCCAAGAACCCAAGACTAGCTAGATCACAGGACTAGGGAAAACCTACTAGTATTATTCTGCTAAAGGAACATAGCAATAAAATGACATTCTGCTATACCCATAGATCAGTGCTTTGCTCAACCCAAATCAGAGAAGCTTCTAGCAGTAGATGGGAATTAACACAGAGACCCACAATTGGGCAATGTGCAAAGAGAGAGACTTTGGAGCTCTCTGTACTAAATAATGTTTTCATCAAAACCCATCCCCTCAAAGCTCAGACAGTCATGTAGAAGATTGTATAAGCCAGAAGTGAGGAATGACTCCAAGGAAAGTATCTTCCAGACACAACAAACTTGACACACATATCAGTTCACAGAGATTATGGCATCATATATAAGACCTGTATAGGTTCAAGCTGGGCAGAGTCCCAGCACTGAGAGGGGTAAGTGGACATGGGGTCTGACCTAGAACCAAGGAGGGCAAAAGGAAAATCAGTTTTCTCACTGGCACGCTCTCTCTCTCTCTCTCTCTCTCTCTCTCTCTCTGTATATATGTATGGATATATGTATGTATATTTACATATATATATTTTTTTCTTTTTTCAACCATACACTTCAGAGCAGGCCCCATGCCCAGGAGCAATAGTATTTTTGTGGACTTTTTGTCTCATTTTGGCTTTTTTTTTTTTTTTTTTTTTTTGGTCTTACTGTTCTTTTGCTTTTTTACTTGATTCTCCTTTTTGTGTTTTGTGGGAGGGTTTTTTTTTTTTTTGCTGTATATGTTTTTGTTTTGAAAGAAAGAGAAAACAAAGTCAAGTAAGTGGGGTGGAGTTAGGAGGAATTGGGGGAAGAGAAACAATAAAAATATATTGTCTGGATTATTATTTTTTAATTGAAAACAAACAAAAAATTGGACAATGGGGGAAAACATAGTAAATATTTTGAATTCTTCAAATTGATATATGTGTAGATATCTCAATTCTTCAAATGATATAACTGGGCTACACATAGCAAGTTCCAAGCCAAGCTGGAAACAATGAGATTTTTCTTTCAAAAGAACAAATGGTGTAAGTGTAAAAATTAGTCACATTCATGAAAAACTTAATTAGGATTCAAGAAACTATGGAGAACATTATTAATAATTACTGATTATAAGAGTCCCTAAATTCACAAGGTTTTATGTTTTTTTTTCTGTTGAGTTAATACACTTCTGTAGAATTTGACAACTGCAGCACCAATCTTACATCTGAATCTTGCTTTTAAGTACCACTTTTGATAGAAAAAAGATCTGCATTGATGCAACAGAAAATGATCTACAATTGCCCGATATGAGGATGATGCAGCATCTTCAACAAAATGAAACAACACTTGAATTTTAAAATATTTTGTCTTTAAAAAGACCTTTCAACTAGTAAAAACATGTATCCATTTTGCTTTTGAATCAAATAGTGAATATGTCCTAAATGGTTTTTAAATAAATTTATCACCAAAAAATGTTTATAAATGTTTAACTTTTAAGAAGTTATAAAGGGGTTCTGGAACAGTCTGTCTCCCCCCAACCACCTCCCCCACCTCTCTCTCTCTCTCTCTCTCTCTCTCTCTCTCTCTCTCACACACACACACACACCCACACACACACACACACACACACACTTTTTCTGCTATCCATATAAGAAATATCATGTCAATAAGTTGAAGTAGGAATGAAATCAAACTGGCCATGCCTGATGATTGTAAAGCTGAGTAGTGGGTTCATGGGGGTTTATTATACTACTCTGCATTTTTACATGTTTGAATTTTTTCAGAGAATAAAGTTTAACAAAATCTAATGAAGTCAGGATACAGCTCAGTATGGGAGTGCTGGCCCCATGTATAGGCTGTGTGCACAATACTCATTCCATAAAATGAAAAAAAATTATGTTAGAAATGAAAAAAAGAAAAACATACAGAGGTAGATTTGAAGATTGTTCTTTTTTAAATAATTTATTTAATTTTTTATGTGCATCGGTTTGAGGGTGTCCGATCCCCTGGAACTGACAGACAGTTGTGAGCTGCTATGTGGTGCTGGGAATTGAACTCGGGTCCTCCGGAAGGGCAGCCAGTGCTTTTAACCACTGAGCCATCTCTCCAGCCCCCACCCCTTTTTAATAATTTATTTAATTTTTTATTTTATGTTTGAAGATTGTTTAGCAGACATTTACAATGACAACCATAGAAAAGACAGTTCTACACTGAAAATTCACACAGTCTTGCTCATGTAAAATCACAATACCATGTCACACTCAGTGAGAAGACCACAGAGAGCAATGGTATACTAATGGACTCCCAGCAGGTAGGGCAATACTCAGTTACAATTCTCAGGCAGGCTTGCAGAGCTACCACTCTGGATGCTGCTGTATCCCACAGCATGCTGAATATAAATTAAGCCTGTAACCAATAAATTCCTATAACTGTAATCTCATTCATGGAAAACTCAAGTAACATTCAGAATAATAAAACCCTGGTAGAATTTTTAGGGTCACTTATGTAGACTATCATATCATCTGCAAATAGTGAAAGTTTACCCCAATGTAAATTTTCCTCCGACCCCCCCCCCATTTTAACTGGATACAGGAGGGAAAGGAGAAAAAAAATTAACAATAATAAATTTAAGAACATCTTGTTTGTCATTAAAATCTCTACTGTATGCTAGTCCTGAGAGCTGTCAATCAGTTTCTGACCCGGGCATCTCAATGTAAGACAGTAACAGCATTCAGCAGAGAATGGCAGGGGTAGACAGAGCATGAGGAACAGTGATCATGACTGAAATCTCTAATTTTATTTTTTAGAAGATGTTGAAAAGATAAAATTGTTTTACCTGTTGATTTTCTTGATCAATTTGTAAATCCTGAAGTGTTCTTTCCAATTTTGACTTCTCATCCAAAGCATTTGTAGTCTATAGTCAAATGTAAACAGGATACATTCAACTTTTACTCTCTAGGTTAATTCTTCAATAATGTATTGAAGGATTTCTCAGTTACCTGTATTTCAATGGTCTTCAGCCTTGACTTTAATTTCTCATTCTCTTGTTGAAGTCTTAAAATTTCCTTTGTGAGTAAATTCAAATATTATTATTATTTTAAAGATTTATTTTTGTCTTATGTCCATGAGTGTTTTGCTTATATGTATGTATATATACAATGTGTGCACCAGTGTAGACCAGATGAGGGCATCAGATACCCTGGAAATGGAGTTACAGATGGCTATGAGTTACCATGTGGGTGTTAGGAACTGAGCCTGGGTTCTCAGCATGTGCTCTTAACTACTGGACCTTTTCTCCAGCCCCCAAATTTTATTATTTTAACCAAAATATGTTTAGCACTTGAAATGACCACTACTTGTTTCACTTTAAAAAATAATCAAAATTATGCGATGGCTCAAAAATCCAAATGCCCCGTTAGGAGTAAAATGCTGTTTTCACAATTCCTGTGCCAACCCCATAGCAGTAAGTCAAATTTAGCTCTAAGATTCACAGTTGCTCTTCTCTCAGAAATACCTTTTCTCCTGTTCTGTTTTCAGCCATTCTCCTCTCTCCTCTAGCTTTCTGATACTGCAGCTTGGGCCTGTTCTACCCTGTTGCCACTTAACCCTGAAAACACACTACCCTCATCATTTTAGTGCCCAGTACTCCAGCTTCTGCATGGCTGAGGGGAGGCCAAACACCTTTATTCTTATGCAGTTTTGATATGAGATGTACCCACCCATCTACCAGTCTGATTTTGCATTTTACTCCATTTTACATGCTGGACTGCTCAGAGGGCCCTGCACTGTTATTCTAAGTCATGACAAACTTCTGTCTGCATGTGGCCAGTAGCCATCTGCTCCTTTGCCCAGCAAGCCCCCTTCAACTTAACCTGTCTTCCCCAGCGTAGAGGCTACCTCATTCAAACGCCTGTTCTTATCTCCTCCCATCCACACAGAACTATCCACCCACAGAACCCTTTAGCTCTCTCACCTCTGTTTCTGGAAATGTTAGTTCCTACTTCCCAATGAAATGGTAACAGTTTTGAGACTGTACGAGGTACTGTATTGCTTTTTAAGTATAACAAAATCTGACATGTGTAATGCCAAGATTATGGGAGTTGAGAAGAATTTATTTTTATGCTGGTGAGTTGTCTAAGCATTAAAAACATACATTTTTGGGGATCACAAATTTCAAACGCACACCAGAAAAACACAGTCCAAAATTCCATGCTCTACACTTTACTGTGATAAGATTTATCAGTCACTTCAGACTCTACAAAGTAAGCATGCCCTCTTCTGGTTACTGGGTTTCATTCCAGTAAAACTGTGACAGACTATTTCTCTTACCATAGCACTGTTCAGGGAATTAGGGTGGGAAGGGGCAGAACCAAGGTTTTCCCATTTCTTTTTTTTTAAGATTGTTCTCTCCTGTTAGATTTTTTTTGTTTTTAAAGATTTATTTATTATGTATACAGTGTTCTGCCTGCACACCAGAAGAGGGCACCAGATCTCATTACAGATGGTTGTGAGCCACCACGTGGTTGCTGGGAATTAAACTCAGGACCTCTGGAAGAGCAGCCAGTGCTCTTAACCTCTGAGCCATCTCTGCAGCCCCAGGTTTTCCCATTTCTGAAAATGATGAGACTATTACCTTGTTTAGAAGTTCTGTTGTTCCACCTTCATTAATTGGAACAAGTTTAGGCTTTGTGATATCTATGATGGGCTGTAAGAAAATAAAGAAACCAATTTAAAATTACCATAGAGTAAAGCAAGAATCATTAAACACTTGCACTTTCTAAGTGGAAGACAATTTATAAACAATCTACCAGGACTTCAAGCTCCACAGACATAATGATTCTTATTGGGCTCATTCTGTTATGTCTAGTGCCTATAATGTGCCACATGAAGCGCAATGATCTGACAGAGAGAAAAATGAAACTCAGCCAGGTGTTGTGATGCACGCCTTTAATCCCAGCACTCAAAATGCAGAAGCAGGAGGATCTCTGTGAGTCCAAGACCAGCCTGGTCTACAAATCAAGTTCCAGGACAGCCAGGGCTGTTACACAGAGAAACCCTGTCTTTAAAAACCAAAAACAGTTGGGCGGTGGTGGCAGACGCCTTTAGTCCCAGCACTCGGGAGGCAGAGGCAGGCAGATCTCTGTGAGTTCAAGACCAGCCTGGTCTACAAGAGCTAGTTCCAGGACAGCCTCAAAGCCACAGAGAAACCCTGTCTTGAAAACAAAACAAAACAAAACAAAAAACAAGAACAACAAAACAGAAACAAACAAACAACACCCCCACAAAGAAACCCAACCTCCCTGCCCTGTACCTTTTTATTAATAAAGACAGAAAGGAGGAAGACAAGGAGCTCATAACCAGACTTGATAAAAATATCTAGTCTCTAGGTCTGGAATTTTCATCTGTGGTAGCTGAAAATAATTTCTCCATGAACCTTATACCATGAGGCTGTAATGGCTGAGGAACGACAGATGAATAATAACTTAGTGCAAATATTTGGGTATCTTAATAGCCCTGTGACCCAAAAAATTCTTAGAAGAATATGTTCCCAAGAGTTATTAGAAAATGTTTCCTGTATGTCTATACATGTATTCATCTCAGTAGTCTCTTATCTTTCTGACAAGAGGGACTATTCATAATTTATGGTGTATCTAGTAAGTGACAACACAGCATATAATAGTTTAGAAAGACAACCAGGCTGTCTCCACCTGCTGTATTAGGTAACTTGCCTATGGCACACAGTTAAGAAGCAGAGTCAGGATATAACTAACTACAGGTCTGACTACCATAAAGTATATGTAAATCAGCTGAATGAAGGGTTTATAAGGCCTGGGATTCAGACTGGACTTTTGGGGATGGGGAGGGAGGAGAGAGAGAGAGAGAGAGAGAGAGAGAGAGAGAGAGAGAGAGAGAGAGAGAGAGAGTGTTTTTCAGTTACTCTAAATTTTTCATCTTTGGTTTGCAAATATGAATAGCAATTAAATTGAATGCTTTTCCTTTAAGGGCCTCACTTTCACCTCCACTAGTTATATCTCGAGGATTTTAGAGACCAGCTATTAAGAAATATGGGATGCTGAGGAAATGCCTCAATGGATTTAAGTTTGGATTCTCAGTACCATGGTGATCTACCTGTAATCTCTGGGCTCAGTAGGCAGAGACAAGGGATTCCTAGGGAAAGCTGACAGCTGATAAGTTGGTGAACTTTAAGTTTAGTAAAAGTCTCTGCATCTGGTCTTCATATGCAAGCACAAACATGTGCACATGCAGTTGTACATAGGTGCACCCATATAAACACAAACATGCATGATCACACATGCAAAAATAAATACGGATTAGAAATAATAAACATTACCTTTTTGCTTGAAGATGTAAATTCTGCCTTCTCAAATTCAGCAATTTGTTCTAGTAATTCTCTGGAGAATAAAAGAAAATTTAAGAGACAATAAACTTCTAGCACACAAAAGAATTAAAAAGAAATCACAAGAAGCAACCTATCACATGCTCATGAGAAGAGCATTAAGATTCTACAAAGCTGATATTTAATCACAAATGGTTGGGGAGCTCACACCCCTGTATACAAATCTGAGTCATCTATGGCTCTTAGTACTTTGTACTTGGTTGGTATATGATGTATGATAAACAGCAATGCCAATACATACATGAATGACAATTGTATTCTCTGTATTTCTGAGGTGCAGCATGATTTCTTTATTGCATAATATTCACTGTTACCTAAGAAAAGAGTCTAATTTGTAATAGAGTTGCCTTGGATATGAAATTAGTCCACAGCATCTACTGAGTAAGAATACCAGCATAGTCCATGGAAATATAGACAGTGTGAACAAGCCCCTGATGACCTACCGCAATAGATGTGCTGGCTATACACTTGCTTAGGGACCACTCTTCTATCTTCTTCAAACATTAGCATTCAGCATGTTCTCACCAGTCACTGACAGTTGCAGAAACCAAATGAGTTTTCTTCCTTGCTTGAGGACTGTCATTAGCGTTTGCTCATCATTTTCCTCTTGAGGAGAGATTGTTTTGAGAACAATTTCCAAGGCTTGGCAGTGAGTCCTTCTTGAATTCTGGCTTTTTTTTTTTTTTTTTTTTTTTTTTTTTTAAACAGGGTTTTCTTTTTTTCTTACTCTATAGTCTTGAACTAGAGACTGCCTGCCTCTGCCTCTCAAGTGTGGGAATTAAAGGTGTGAACCATGGTGCCCAACTGGCATGCTATTTCTCAGGACAAGCTTCAACTTCATTGATCTTCCTACAGGTTTTGAATTTATGAGCTTTTCAATATTGCAAAACTTTTAAAGCCTTTTATAGTTTACATTTCCTAAGGTAAGTATATGATTTTTGCAATGGCTATATTCTGAATAAATGGAAATGATACTCCAATACATTTTCAACAGTTACAGTCTTCATTTCTTAGCAAATATGTATATCAAGACTACTGTAATACTAATTATGCTACTAAAGATGCTGTGAGGAATCATTACTTTAAACAGATTGAAAACCAGTTTCATGTAGCTCAAATGCTTTTTAGTACCTAAGAATGGTGGAAACAGAGTATCTTTAAAAGGACTTTGAGTGCTACTCAAGGGATCATCTAGTGACTGTGCCTTACTGCCACCCTACCCACATTGTCTCACACCCCAGCCTAAGGAAAGCACTAGCAAAGTTATTTGCTAAATTTTAAGATCATGCTTGGGTGTCTAAATATCAACTATAGGTCCAAATTTTACCTGTTTTCAAGTTCAGAGATGTCTGTCTGTAGCTTTAGGTACCACTTCTCAGCTTGTGAGAACAGCTGCCGTAGGAGTAGCACGTTGGTGTAGGCTGTATTAATGAGCTCAGACTCCACCTCACTGTGAACCACAGACTGCAACCCGTTCAGGACTTCCATGACTTCATCCATGGTGAAAGTCTCCTCTACCAACCTGAAAACAGTATGACTCCAATGGCTAGCTAATCACAGGAGCAACTTACAAAATACAACCAAAGTCAAGAAACCCACATCATAGCATTTAAAGGATCAAAGATTACAGGAAAAACTCTGGGAGAGATTTATTAAAACAATTAGATTGTGGATAATTATTCAAATGTGTTCTTTTTAAAATATAACTACATGCTGAGAAACACCCCCTAAACCTTGATCTAGTCTTTTGACTTTTCCATTATTTTTTTTTTACTTTATACGTCTCTAAATTAGTCTTACCACATTTAGAAACTTAAAAAGTCACCTAGGTCACATAGCATCTCCATTTTCTGTCACTTCTCTAGCATTTTAGTAATAGTGAACTGCAGTTGTATATTAAATTTTCTTAGCAGTTTAGAGACACAAAATAAAATCTAACACCGTAAGGTATCACTATGATACCACAAAAATTAATGTCTATCAATAGCAGCATTAAAAACTACTCTCCTTGGAGATACCTGGGTTGGAAAGGAACTTCAGGGGATGGGCCATCATCTTGAATCCCCTAACTGAACACTGGGCTGCATGGTGGAAGAGATTTACCTGTGGATTCACTGTGGGTGGCTAAGCCCAACAATTTCAGCAACACGACCAAGAGTTGGAGCCCTTAACACACCCTGTGCACACCTCCTACTCTCAATGACATTGTCACAGTAACAGAACTGTCTCTCCTAGCTTTATCCCTTCAGTATCTCACCCTCAGACTCTTGGCTCACTTTTGTCTTTTTCCTCTCTTCCAAACAGACAAAAATGAATCAAGAGTCAGTCAAACTTAGTGTTGGCAAAATTATGTTCAAATTAATAGTAAACAGTTTTAGTAGTATATTCCACTAAGTAGTATTTAGTGTGTAATTCTGTAATGGCATTTAACTAGAAGAATATAGCCATTTAAAAAATATAACTAAATTTTATAGTCTATTTAAATACTAGTGTTTTCTTTTTTTTTTCTTTCTTTCTTTTGTTTTGGTTTTTTGAGACAGGGTTTCTCTGTGTAGCTTTGGAGCCTATTCTGGCCCTTGCTCTGGAGACCAGGCTGGCCTCGAACTCACAGAGATCCACTACCTCAGTCTCCCGAGTGCTGGGATTAAAGGCGTGTGCCACCAATGCCCGGCTTTCCTTAATTTCTTAATCAGCATTTAACTTTATCTACTCAGGAGCCTGTCTTTTTTGAGAAATTTTCACATGACCAGGTACACAAATATACAAACTAAGTATACAGAGAAAACATTTACTAGTTAAAAATCATAAAATTCTTTCTTAAAACAAACCAGGTGTGATGGCACATGCTTTTAATCCCAGCACTTGGGGAGGCAGAAGCAGAACTCTTTTATGAGTTTGAGGCCAGCCTGGTCTACAAAGTGAGTTCCTGGACAGCCAGGGCTGTTACACAGAGAAACCCTATCTTGAAAAACTGAAAAAAAAAATTGTTTTCTTAAAACAATTCTTTGGTATACATAAAATTTGCCATTTACTAAAGCTGAAAGCTAATTTTTCATATAATGAGATGAATGTGCTTATTTTTAAAACAACAATTAAATCTTATTTGAGTATTTGATAATACAGGAAAAAGCACACCTTCAACATTTTTCAGAATTGATTGGTAATTTGATTTTATAATCATCAATGTTGAGAACACTGCTCTGCATAAATGCATAGTACAAAATAGCAAAAAATATATATTTATGGCCCTTTAAGAAATGTTTGGAAATTCTATCTTAATCCCAAATGAAAATTCACTTTATGGTTTTTTAATGAAACTCAACAACTCAAATAATAATTTGCCCCCAGGAGAAAGCTCAAACACAGTCCCCCACTACCACAAATTATGTAGTCGAGTTTCCCAAATTTGGAGAAATAGTAGGGGTCAGCACATCTGGAGTGCTCACCCTGGGAAAACCACCTTCGTGATCGTGGTATCTCCCCTGCCAAGTAAGTATTCAAATAACCATTTTTAAAATCAAAGACTCTAATACAATAGACTCCAGAGACACACTAATTTGATTCTTACATGCTACGGAAGTACGGTAAGAAAATACTGTCTTGGTCATAATTAAGACATTATGTTTCCATAGGAGCAGAATACTTATATGTACAGTAAAATCACTGTAATTCAAAGCATACAATAATCTAAGCCAAAGAGTTCCAGGCAGCTTGCATTTGTGCTGGGTGGCTTGATGGTCTGGGCAATGCAATATGTGCCTGTCGTGTGTTCAGAACCAAGGCTGCAGTGAATCATCACATGATAAAACACTGGCAAATGCTGTCAGAACACTTCAGATTCATCATGAATTTAATTATGAACTAATTTTTAGTGATTGCATTTTCAGAAACCTTTAACTACTGCCAAAATATCATTCAATTATATGACCCACAGTTTTAAGAAGTAAGGCTTAAAGTCACTTGATACCTGCTCTCCTTGAGGTCTTGAAAGCAGGCATCTACTGTTTTAAGTCTCAAGCCTCTTTTTGAACGAGCAAAACGCATGTAATTAATAACCTCATTTTGATGGTGCTCATTTAGGCCCAACTCTGCCTGAAAAAGAGAGAATTTGTTAGTCCTGAGGATCAGACAAAAGAACTAACAATAAAAACAAACAAGATACTTTGTTGGGCCAGGTGGGGTGGCACACACTTTTAATCTCAGCACTTGGGAGGCAGAAGGGGCATCTCAGAGTCTGGGACCAGTCTGATCTACATATTAAGCTTCATACAAGCCAGAGCTACACAAAAAGACCCTGTTTCAAAAAATTTTTAAAAAAAGAAAGAAGGGAAGGAAAGAAGGAAAGAAGGAAAGAAGGAAAGAAAGAAAGAAAGAAAGAAAGAAAGAAAGAAAGAAAGAAAGAAAGGAAGAAAGAAAGAAAGAAAGAAAGGATGATACTGTGTATCAGTAACTGCTAGATGTATATCTGGTTGTCTTCTCTTTCTCCTACATACCCAACCAACCCAGCTAGAACTTCCTTGAAGTCAAATATAGCAATCCAAAGAGGTATGGGGTATTTTCAAAGGCTTAAGATATGGGGTATACCTTAAACCTTTGTCATCTCCAATTTCTCTGAAAGTTGGCAGAGTGGGTGACTAGGATGAGCCAAGCTAGTCACTTTTATGACCCAGGGCTGAAAGAACAGAAAGATAAAGACCTCGACCCTTACCTCATGGAGCAGTACTGACCCACTCACTAATCTAAATAAGAGACTGTAGCAGGGTCTCTTTTGGACCAACCACCAGCCGGCTCCCAAATCATGACAACTTAGTATTATCTTATGGTTGTCCCACTAGTTCTTAGAACTTAATTTAGCCTGTTTCTCTTCATCTACGTTTTACCTCATGGCTTTTAACCTTATATTCTGTATGCCCTACTTTCTTGCTTTCTTCCATGTCCACCCAGCTGGCTGGCAGCTGCCTGCCTGGCTGCCCTCAGGCATCTACTTCTTTTCCTCCCTCGTTCTCTTCTCTCCTCTCAAGCCTAGATTCCTCCTCCAATTTAGTCTCTCTGCCTGCCAGCTCCAACTATCACTCTACGGCCTAGCTATTGGCCTTTTATTAGACCAATCAGGTGCCTTAGGCAGGCAAGGTGAAACATATGCAACACACTTTTGCCCAGTTAAATAAATGCAGCATAAACAAATGTGACACTCTTTTACATAGTTAAAGTAATATCCCATAACATAAACAAATGTAACATCTTTACATAAAGCAATACTCCCTAAACAGAGATGACCGCTGTGTGAGAGGGAATTAAACATCTGCATTCTTTAATACAATGATTTTCAGATTTCTAACACAGAAACTTCATCTTACCAAATAATAGCCTTAAAGTTATATTTGGAGCCAGGTGGTGGTGGTGCATGCTTTTAATCCCAGCACTCAGGAGGCAAAGGTAGGCAAATCTCTGTGAGTTCCCAAGCAGCCTGGTCTACAAAGCTACACAGAAAAACTCTGTCTTGAAAAACAAAAACACAACAAAACAAAATTATGTTTGGTTTGAAAATACCCACTAGTCTTTGTTAAAACCAGACTGTTGCTGGTTTTTATGTTGCTGTTTAAAAATAACCAACCCAAGAAGCTGCACAGGTAAATGCAGCTCTCAAACCTGATCATAGAAGTTTCTTTGTGCAATGGATGGTGGTTAACGCAAACACTCACACACTGGTCAGAGTGCAGAGAATAAGTAGTCTTAACACACGGGGCTATCTCTATATCACACCCCTCCTCCAAGGCACAGAAACTATCTCTGAAGAGGAAGCAAAAAGACTAAGAGACAGATCAGTAGGATCAGATCAAAACAGTGTCTTCACACCTGTGGTTGCCTGCACACAGTAGTCAGGCAACACAACCTAGCATAGAGGCAGGGGTAGTTCATGAGACCTCGCTCCTAACTGATGACTTATGGAGGGTGGAGAGTCAGTTTCCTTTAAGAGTGTGGCCCATGGCAGGTTGATGATGCTCCAATGATGGTCCCACGTCCATGTGTATAAGGGCAGCTATCCTAGGTAGGCTTTAAAAAAAAAAATGACAGGAAGTGCAAGATGAATCTTGGGGAAGCTGGAGCAGGAGTAAATATGATTTTTAAATACATTGTATGCATGTATACAATCTTTAAAGGGTATATATTTTTTTGAGACAGGGTTTCTTTGTGTAGGCCTGGCTGTCTTAGAACTTGCTCTGTAGACCAAGCTGGGCCTCAAACTCAGAGATCTACCTGCCTCTGACTCTCCAACCCAATCCTCTCCCCACACACACCTCCCACCTTTTTTTGAGACATGGTTTCTCTGTATAACCACCATAGATGTCCTGGAACTTGACCTGTAGACCAGACTGGCCTCAAACTCTTAGAGATCCACCGGAATACTGGGATTAAAGCTGTGTGCCACCACCATCTGGTGATAAAAATATAAAAAACAAACTAACAAACAAAAATAGGACAGTGGGCCTATTGCTAAAAAATTTTGAATTTTATTTGATGAGTCATTTTACCAACCCTTGTAAACTTTCAATTTATTAACATATCATCTAGGCCCGAGTCCCAAGTGCTAGTTGTCAAACTGACAGAAAAGACTAAGAACACAGACAAGAACTGAAGGGACTCTAGTCAGCTCAAGTATGGGAAGCATGACTATGGCAGGCCTTGCTAAAAACCATTAGACTGCTTTCCTAAAGGTAGCCACCAAGGTCTATTCCCTTATTTGACCACTGCCTCCTCATGAGGCTGTCTACCAAGATCCAAATATCAAAATATTAAAGTCCAGCAATCAGGGGGCTGGAGAGATGGCTCATAGATTAAGAGCACTGACTGCTCTTTCAGAGGTCCTGAGTTCAATTCCCAGCAACCACATTGTGGCTCACAACCATCTCTAGTGAATTTGATGCCTTCTTCTGGTGTGCAGAAATACATGCAGACAGAACATTGTATTTATAACAAATAGATTTTTTTAAATGTCACAAAACAAAAAGGAACTCCAACAATCAAAAGCCCCTTCATCTAACTAACATGCCCAATCAAAATAGACCACCGCATCCCAGCCTATTCTAAAAGACCTCCCCTTCTTCTCTTCTTAAAAATAACACCTGCAAACGTCATTTGCTGGTGTTTTTCTGCCTGAGTCAGGAAGCAGCCACTTTAACTTTTCGTCCCTGATTAATAATAGAGGATCTCTCTGTGAAAACAGGTGTCTGGGTGTGGTTTGTGCCTAACCCGGGGTCCGGGAGGGAACCTGCGCTGTACTGGGGTCTCCTTCAAGCCTTTTTTTTTTTTTTTTGAAACCACTAGCATTATTTTCTCGTTTTTGAAGTGAAGAGAAGCAGGCCTAGTTGTAGGCTCGGAATCGGTTAAGGAGTGGTCTGTTTTGTTTAGATGGATACAGAGAGAGGGCTCACCGGGGATGCCGATTGCTGGGACACGCCATGGCAGCGCATCTGAGCAGCACTGCCTTCACCCTCACTTTCGTGCTTTTATCCACAAACAACCACTTCAACAAGGGGAAAGCTGTTGAATGAATGAACGGTGTGTGTATTCCTTCCTCCCAGTCTTGCCTGCTTCACGCTAAGCCCCAGCTCTAGCCTAAAGGTACAAGTCCGCGTTTAGCCGGCTGTAAAAGAGGGCGCTGCTTCGGAGAGCGGGACGCAGCCGAGCTCACTCGGGGAGTCACGCCGCGGCCGGCCGCCCTCCCCACCGAGCCCCGGCCGGCTCGGCCCCGCTCCCCGTCCGGTCCCCTAGCCCGGCCTCTCCCGAGGCCGATACTCACCATGGCGGCTGCCTGACCCCACAGGAAGCAGAGAGGCCGGCGCCGGGGCCTGAGGAAGGTGGATTGTTTAGAAGCCGCGGGTTGCCAATGGGAACGGGGGCACGTGGGCCCTCGCCTTACGCGGTCATTGGCCCTTTGTGTCACGTGACCGGAGGGTGCTTCGTAACTGGCTGATTTCCGCACGCACCTCGGCTTCGAGGCCCGGAAGTCCCACCTTTTCCTGCCACGCCACCGTGGGGCGGTGCCTGCCGTTGCCAATGGTCACGGAGGGGCGGGGCGCGTTGGAGAAGTTGGGGTTGGCTGGTTTGTGCCTTGTCACCGGGATCCTGCGTGGTCCCCAGCTTCCTCCGCTTCTGAGAACACCGGGCACGGTGACCTGGGCTTCAGCGTGGCTGCATCGGGCTGGCGATGATGCGCACCCTGCCTCCATCTGCGTTATTTTATACTGCTAGCAGAAGCATTATGTTATACTCCTGGCAGAAGTGACCACTTAAACTCTGCCTTTAAAAATGTGCAAACACATAGGTGTACAGACAGCAGTTTATTAGACAGAGACGGACACTAGATTCGCCGGAAGGTTGTGGAATAACGTCCTGATCTCTCCGTCGGAAATATTCACTTATGAAGTCTAGCATGAGTCATTAGAATCTGCAAGTTTCACCGATGTTCCAAAGCGATGACCAAGTCTAATTAAGACACTGTCCTTGGCCAGCACGCTGGCGCTTGCCTTTGATCCCAGCACTTGTAAAGCAGGGGCAGAAGGATCTCTGATCTGTGAGTTCAAGGCCATCCAGGACTACTTACTGAGACTCTGTCTTTAAAAACAACAGCAAAAAACCCCACTGTCCTATGAAAGGCAGGTATAGGAAGAGATTATCACAAATATTGGGTACCCATTAGGTGGACACACAACCAACTATAAACCAGTGCCATATCCTAACAGATGAATCCTTTTGAATAAAGCTAATTTATAAAGACATGATATCATTAGGAAAAGGTACAACAATGAAAACATACTCATTAGTTAAGTGGTCAGGACATAAAAAAATAAATAAGTGGATAAAAGTTAGACGGAAACTATTTTCAGATGAGAAAATGTGTTCAGAAAAGCCACATGCCATGGGTGGTTAGGAGAGGCAGAGCTGGAATAGAACCGTGTGATCGCTGCAAGAGTTTTAAGACTCATTTTAGTACAGCTAACTGGACTTCTTGCAGAAATGCTCCCTAAAGATCTGACTTTAGATAGTCTCCCAAGACTTTAAGAAGGAAAGGTCCAGGACAGAGGGCATTCCAGTTTTTGCTGTCACTTTGACACAATCGACCATACCAGAGAAGAGGAAGTCTCAATTGAGGGATTTCCTAGATCATATTGGCCTGTGGGAAATTGTCCTAACCGTCCCCCTCTTCCCCCTGACAGAGTTTCTCTGTGAAACAGCCCTGGCTGTCTTAGAACTTGTTTTGTAGACCAAACAGGCCTCAAACTCATAGAGACCTGCTTGCCTCTGTCTCCTGAGTGCCAGGATTAAAGGTGTGTGCCACCGTGGCTGGTTTGTCTTATTTTTTTTTAATTGATGTGGGAAGGTCCATCCCACTGTGGGTGATGTCACTCCTGGGAAGGTGGTCCTTGAATGTATAAGAAAACTGGCTGAGCGTGAGCGAAGGCCAGAATGAGTCAGTAAGCAGTTTTCCACCACGGTTCCTGCCTCAGCTTTTGCTTGAGTTCTACCCGGATTTTCTTCCACGATGGACGGTTACCTGGAAGTGTAAGCTGAAACAACTCCTTTCCAAATTTTGTTTGATCAAAATGTTGTATCCCAGCAACATAAGGAAGATACATATAGAAGGGCTCTCTGAGGAGCCTTGGCACTTCTCTGCTCTCCTGGTTGCAGGAGGCTATTGTCAGTTTCAGAATTTGCTAGGGACAGGCAGAGTACAGAAGAGTGCTGACGAATTAGATTAATGAAATATGTATTACATGCATTAAAGATCAGGCAAGGAAGTGGTTCACCATAAAATACAACTCCCTTTCAGATTGTGAGGATGGTGGCAAGGCTTAGCGCAAACTATAGATTAGTTTCACTGATAAATCTCCGTATGTTGACAACACCCCTAAAAGGAAATAAATACCAAAACCATCAAATAGTGAAGCTCATCTTAAGAAAAACTTCAAAAATTAGCTATAGGGAACACTTTTTGGGAGAAGTAAAGGAAAACTTTCCTGCAAAGACTATCTCTAGCAAATTCTTATGTCATACCTCATATACACATATTCATCTGGTTAACCTGCCTTGTGCTAGCTACACAAAACTAGATTCAGGAAAAACACTGTGGGGAGAGGGACGGCAAGTAAGATGGGATCAATCCCTTTCAAAACTGACCCTGGAATGAAGTCAAGGGGAAATGTGATCTTAAAAAACAATCTCAAAGCAGACAAGTCTTAAGACAGCTTAGAAGAGAGCATGAATGGCTGTTTTTATCATCTGGGAAAGGAGAATTTTAGAAATGTATCCCAGAAGGCAGTGGAATTCTGATGAGGTCTCAGAAGTGAGGGAGATTGATGACTGTGGATGAGAGGGTTGTCCCAAATAAGGAATTAGATTTTCGCCAGGTCCAGGGACATACATTTATATCTCTTAAATCGTTCCAGGAATAAAATTGGGAGAAAACAAATTTTGAATGAATCCCCCTCATTCAGGAATATGGGCCTTCTCAGGGCTATGGTTCCCTCTTTTCCAGGATTATTGACAAACCAGTTGATCTCATCTCAGAAAATGGAGTAGAACACTTCCGTTGGCTAAGAGAGTTTTGCCTACAAAGGCAAGGTTATGTGATCTGAAGAGCCCTGTACCAACTGTGTTCATAAATGGGAGTTTATGAACAAATGGGGGTGGGAGAGCTAAAATATGATGACGGTAAAAAGGAAATTGCATTCTTGGTCAGTTGACACAGGGTGTCTTCCCCTCTATCACAATTTAAGTTGGTTGAGAGAAAGCATCTTTATTTCATGGCCATCCTGAGCATCCCAACCAGGGCCGGTTTGTACTCAGCTACAAGCAATGCTTGCAGAATTGGATATAAAAGAAGCAGGGACAGTAAACATTTGTGATTTTCTTCTGTTCCTAAAAACTATGTCTGTGGGTTGTTTTTTGATCCTGAGCAAACCCTGCCATCTCTTGAAAAGCATATTCTATCATTTCAAACATACCCAGTGATTCCTATTTCCTATGGCAAATGATAATTTGAGCTGATTTATATAACATTTTTTGCAATTATGTTTGATATGATTTATTTATTACCAATCC